TCTTCAGACATTAACTGAAGATACTTATCGACCGGTAATTATTTACCGCCTGAAGATAACGGAGGATTTGGATTGTGTCGCGATAACAATAATCTGGCCCACTCCTCCCTCCTCACTGTCAATTAATTTACTGGCAATTCCCTATAGTTCCTCCTTCAAACTCAACGACTTATCCCTCCTCCGTTCCCAGTGTAAAACATTTGATCCCCCTTAAAGTTATCCACTTCTCAGCAGACTAAACGATAACTAGTACCTTGACTAAGGAGGCCAGCGTCATTGAAATATTCTGTAGGTAGTCTCCTCTCAGGTTTCCATTTGTGTCATCATTTATGACTGCAGATGAGTTGTCAGTCCTCTGGTTTGCTGACTGGCTAGATGGACAAATCCATTAAAAGTTATCCATCACCTGCAATGCTTCTTATTGTTTCTATTTGATGTTTCCAAAGCGAATCGACTTTTAGTTTCTCGATTTTTTTCGATTTTCTTTCCTTCTATATATAACCACTTTGTTCACATTGTAAGTTTTATTTCTCATTTTTTCGAACCTATTGTAATTTTACCTTCACACCTATCTTAATTCAGATAACTCTTTCAACCGTGATTATCTCGTGACATCAAACTAGAACATACTCGGTCTTCGATCTTAAGAACTGAGATATTTTAATTAGAGATGAAAGCTTTTTTTCATTTTTTTTTCCTAGAGTTAATTTTCTTAAGGTGGGATTTGAACTATGAGCCGGAAATCCGACCAGGGTATCAATATCTCTATAATTAACTTCTCTACATTAAGTAAATTCCTTAGTTCTCCTGGCAAAGTGTAATTTGCTGCGTTTAATTTGGCAATGTGGAGAGTTAAAATGTAGCAGCTCACAACCCAAATTTTACTTGTTTCGCTTGCTTGTAAAATGATGGCAGCAAAATTTGTAGACCAGATACAGTAAGTACGCTTTTTGAAGTATGTCTTGAACCTTAAGCAATCGAGTAGCCTGCAGAATTGAGTGCTCGGTGAAAATAACCACGTCTGAGCTGTAACAGCAATCAGCAGGTTTCTACGTAAGAAAAGTTAGCTTTTCAGTCCTTTTTAATTTTACAACGCAAGTCTCCTGTGGACTCGCCGCTCAACGCTTAAAAATTCGCAAACAACCGCCAACAGCACAGGCCTAAATATATGAACCTTGTGCCTAATCCCAACTCGCGAAAAGTGCTTCGGTAGCGTGGTTGTACGGGCATCGGAACGGACCGGACCAGACCGGATTGGAATTCTCGTAACTTGAGACTCGCGACGATGCATGTTTATCACGAACCTTGCCTCACCCTTTTCACCATCATGTCATTTATTTTTACCTCTCAGATCAAAATTTGCCAGCAATGGCACTGCTGGATTGAAGTTATTGAAAAGGAAATTATCGCTCAAGAATTTGGACTTTCAGTTGTGGAGAAAGTCTCTGTTCTTTCACTCGTTAGCGGGAGTAAAGTATTCCAAGTCAATGCATGCAAAAATTTACTACGAATGAGTCCAAACAAAAATAAAATACAAACAAAATCTTCTGCACAAAACAAACAAGACGTAAACAAGCCAAAACAAAAACAATTAAAAGCAGCAATTTAAAAAGTCATATGAACTACACTTCAAGATTTCAGTTAGGACGGAATACGTACATAACTGTTTCCTTGGCTTATTAACCTGCCGCTGCTTGAGTAATGAGTTTAAACTTGTTTTTTCACCGAAATCTCTCAGTTGTCGGGGAGGAACAAAGGCCCTTATCTAGAAAGCGCCTGAAGTAGGGCCAACTTTCTCCCATTTACTATCTGATCTCTTTAGTACGGAAACCGAAAGGTAAAGGTTCCGGTTTTTAGGGATCATCATGGAGACGACACTTCTAGATTCAACTGACGTAAGTAAAGGTCAGAGATTATAGGTATAACGCATTCTTTGTTTGTCCAATATTGTGAGAAAGTATCTGACATAGCAATGGTCAATAACACCATGGAGCGGCGTCCTGATAGCTTTTGGTCATGCCTGGTTTGTGCGGCATCCGTATTATCTATTCTGATCGCAACTGGCGGTCCATACGCCTTTGGATTGCTTCTTCCTCCTTTAATGGATGAATTCAACGCAAACAGACAAGAAACAGGTAAGTGAGACTTAGTTTTACCGGATGTTGATACATATCTACAACCACAGACGCGTTTAAGTCTGAGGGAGATTGAGTTCATAAGGATATGTTCGTATTGGAATCTTCTTAATTATTGATCATAACGTTAGAAAAACTTTAAGGTAAATAACTAAAGTGGGGTTTCGAATTTTATTATCATTGAAATTTTGTTTTCCTTGTCGACCTTTAGGATATATATTTGCAAATTTGCAAATTTGCAAATTGTCGGATGTGAATGGCAGAAAGTTTGTTGCCGGTCTT